CCATCTAATTTCACATGGTCTTGCTTTCCCAAAAGGAATTCTCATCCAGGGGGGACTTCAGCTTCGACCTCGTCTAAGTCTTATCAACACCCCTAGCGGGAGTCGGACCATTACAGTGAAGAGTGTAATCTCGACACGTTAACAGCTACGTCACTTTGCCACGAATGCCCTTGGGTTACAGGGCAGATGTGCATTTCAAGGAAGGCTGGGCATTTTCCCATATTATGTTCTTTGTTGAGATTGTTGATGAAGCAAAGTTATATTTGCTATAACATTAGACTAAATTACTTATTTTTTGTTCATAACCGTTTCTCGGGACTGCAGTCCAACTTAAGTGAGAACACCTTTTGGGAAAACAAGCCCATGTGAAATTCAATGGAAACATCAGTTCTATTCATAGCATTGTGGGGAAATTCAACTGCCGTTCCTTCATCACCTTAAACAAAACAATGTAAATACTTCTCATATAATGTTATTTTACTTTTTGTCAGAAATTTAAAAAAAGTGCTGTAGGATTCATGTAGAGTCGGGTTTAAGATACTAGTTTCATCTCAGTTCTACTCTTGGGCTTATGGATATGGTTAGCAGTAGCATAATTGCTAATTTTCCCCTCCCAATTAAATTATGTAGTTAATATATTTATTAACAGCTAATTTCTATATCTTAATTCACACGTTTTCACTTATTTTTTTCATGTGCCCATATCGATTGGCATCCATTCCTCAGTGTCTATTCATTTAGGCTCGACCGGCGTCTCATCTGCTAGTGTTCACCTTCTTGCCACAGGCGCACCACGACCTTTAAGTAGTGGTATCTCTGCAAAAGCTTTGTCAGGCTTCATCGATTATGACACTCTCGAACTGAATCTGTCAAGGCGGCTGACCCGTCTCCTTGCACGTTCACATTCTCTGCCAATAGGAATGGTTCTTCTTCTACACCAACTTGGCTGTCCCGTTAACCGTCGGCTGCCTATCGCGCCATCAATTTTTCGAAGTACTACCCTCCCATCATACGTGAATCCTACTTCGACTTCACTAGTTTCTCTTTGTGCCTCTTCATCGCGTGGTCAGCCGAGTCTGAATTCAGTTTTGCTAAATGGAGCTTCCTTTGCTGACACCATAGCTTCCAATAGTTCCTCTGAACTACTTGGAGTTGGAGGTTTTGAGACTCGCCAGCTATGTGTAGCCGTTAGTCGTCTGTTGACTGGCCTTCAGAGCTCGGTTCGAATTTGCCCTGCACGATTGGATACGAGTGGTGTACTAGCTGGTGGTGATAAACTACATCCAGTTATGAAGTTTATTTCGACTTCAAATCCGCTAATTACAGATGCTTCAGGTCACCACATCCGTGCTTTCGACTCGGAGATGCATAATCGTCGACCTAGTAGCCTACTTTCATCATTCACATCCACTGCTACCTGGCTTTCGTCCGCAGCTGCTATTCTTCTTGCCGAGCCAGTGCCTCTACCTTCCCTGCAGCTCCATTCGGTTCCACCTCATGGCATTATACAAACGCCAGCAGGACCAACAATACCACCGAGTCAGGCTTTGCTTGCATCGAACTCCGCGGCTGCTCTAAGTCAAGTTCAGGGCCAGGTGCATCATCACCATCATCATCATCATCACCATCCAAACCATATTCTTCAGCACTCATCGGGGACGACTGGTTCAACTGGCCTTCCTGCGCCACCTCCTCTGCCCCCTGGAGTGTTAGCAACCCTTCCTCCAGGTGGTCTGCTTCAAGGAGAAGGAGGTAATAGCCAGTAAGCTAGAGATCTAAGAATGAATTAGACATCTAGATGGAGGTCAAGGAAGATCGTCTTGTCCTTTAGATTATAGGGGATTTGGCTCATAGACAGACCATCCTGGTATTTTAAAGAATCAGATTTCGCATTTATCTTAATACCACTGTCACTCCGTAAAATTTTCTAAGGCATACACCCAAGATTACCTCGGGTTATTTGATAGAAATTCGTACTTTCGTATTCGTTTATTCAGTATTATTACGAATTTTTTGTACCTTTGTGGTTTTTATTAATCATTTGCATAATCACGATCTTGAGAGAAAACATATCAATCTTGCATACTCCGGAGACACACTGGCATTAAAGTTTCTATATATGATAATGAAAGTTCTTAAATGTGCAGGCATAGTTGTGTCGTTATTCCTAAAATACAGTAAATTTAATTACGCTTTCGACCTAAAAATACTAAATTATCTAAATTGCCCTACTGTCAAATAGCTCAAAATATATATAATGGATCACAGAACTAACCGGCGATTGTATATACTAAGAAGAAACGTGTTTAGATTAATCCCTTGATATAAAACTGTTATGGAGACTTTCATTTCGTATAAAAATGCATGAAGAAGATATTCGAAGGTCGATCTCACCAGAAGTGGATGGCTGATTACCGTTGTGCTGCAGCTGCTTTGATTTAATACGAAGTTTAGGTT